TGCCAAGCTTCTTCCCAAGTCCAGGACAAAGGCTATATGAGCCTGTTTTGATAGCCCTAGCAGAGGAAAAGGCTGGTGCCACCTTCCACGTTATCAGGGAGAATGTTTCCAGCAGATGGAGTTGAGCTGCCCAGACCGAGAAGGGCTTTGAGAAGCCTGAAAAAGCTGGGGTTAACTCTGTAGTTTCACAGACTGTTTCTGTTGGCAGAAGGAGGAGGCCACGAGTGAATCAAGGCTCCAGTCCGGGTTAAAAATAACAGCGTGGGAAGGAGGAGAGGGCTGTTGGAGGGTGAGGAGGGAAGGGCAGTGGCCAGCTCTGCTTCCAGACAGGCAAGTGCCTGGGAAGTGGCACAGGATGAAGGGTAGGACTACTGCTCATGGCAAGCATTAGATCATGCTGGCTGGGACCTCCTCTAGTGGAAGCCCAGCCAGCTGAGGAGCTGAGCCAGGGTGAAGGAAGGTGAAGAAGGGTCTGACTGCTGCCCCAAAACACTCCCAGTGGGGAAATAGAGCAGAAAGGAGTGAGTGACAACAGCTGAAAGACAGCGTCATTCCCACACACTGAAAATATGTTTATCCTGGTCAGTAATGTGTTTAGGTTGGAAATTAGAATAAGGTTCATTTCCTCTTCATTTCACTTATTTTCTTCATTCTTCAGCATTTTTGTCTCCACAAATAAAACAATGTCCAAACCAGAATCCCTCCGACATCCACCCTCCATTACTAAATGCCTGCAAAATGACTTTTCTGTCTGCACCCTGATGATGGGCAGAGCAACACTGCTACAAGGATATAAATGACAATCAGGTCTCAGAGAAGCAATACCTTGCATCAGGCAAAATGAAATTAGGAAAACAACAGAAAAGCTTCCAAGTGCGGAGGTCTGAAGAAATGTCATGGGCCCAAACCTTATTTGTTTCCTCTTAGCAAATATGCCAGCCTACAAGAAAGTGTGAACTTCCCCCATCAGCCTTCCCCACACTTTTCTGTGTTGTTTAGTTTTCAGCTCACACTGTCCATGTTTCCACTTTATTTTATTTCCACTTTATTTTGTATTCTTCCTATGTTTACTAAGCCAGGTACTCACCACCTGTGTATCTACACAGTGGAGCTCAGGACACAAAGTGTTAAAACGGGAGAGAGATGATCATGAGGGACAGCATGAGCCCTGAAGGTCTTCCAGGCAGACAACATGCTTGTCTACGTGCTTTGGAATCCCTTTGATGCAGATCAGTCCCTGAGTATTCAGGCCTCATCTCTAGCTTTCTCCCGGCATGTTTTACCCCTCTCCTCCTGCAGACCCCCAACACTTGCACTCTAGCTGGCAGCAGGCACACAAGAAACTGCAGCTGTTGCTGCATGAGCTGCCACAGAAAAACCCACGCTGAATGAGCTGCATATCCAGAAAACAGCTCCCACCCAAAGGAAAGCATTACAATTACCATCACTCTCACAATTATCACAATTAACATCTCATCTCAACTCCCAAACACGTAACAGAAAATTCAGATCCATTTCAGGCTCTCTCTGCCCACTTTTGGAAAGTAGCTTTGCAATTCTTGTGTAATTATTCAGGAAAGAAAAAACCAAAAAGCGATAAAGACAATTATCTTGTCCTTGCATCATACCACTTGCAGGCTTAGCGCTGCGAGCTGAATTCCCCAACCCACCTAACCGAGACAGCTCTGTGGAAAGTTGACACAGTGTTTGGGAATGCCAAGCCAAGCAAGCAAACAGTTTATCAAAACAGGCTTTTCTAAATCTGTCCCACAAAGCTGAACAAGCACATGGGCAACACCATCTCTATGAAAACTAGGACCCCGGTTCTTAAACCTACTCTGTGCTTTGGCGCTAGCATAGCTGTGAAAATAAATATGTGTTAAAAATCACCTCATCTAAAGCCTGGTCAAAGGGAAGGCCCCAGTATAGACACAATGATATTAATATCACAAGTCCTTCTGATGGTGACATTTACTCCAGTTGGGAAATTAATCTGGGCCACAAATGGGTGTAAAGTCAAGGTTCTTTCAGCCTTCCAAGAAGACCAAGTACATCAAGAAACATGAGATGTGTTACTCACTGCTTGTGCAAAAAGCCTCACTCTGCAGTGTTGGTACCGGAAGGAAGGAAGAGGAAGGCCTTACAGACAGAATCAAGAAGCTTTTCAGTGTATTTGTTCTGCAGGCACTTCCTCCTGGCCCATGGCATGTTAAGTGGGATCGCTCAGGTATCAAACACTCACACAGAGGATGGACACTCATACACAGACATTTTACCACGTCATTGCAGCTCATACATGCCAGACAAGCTTCATAGATGGCCAGTGCTGACCTCTGAAGTGCTGGAGGCAGATCGTTCCGGTGAGACTGTTACCTCTACACTGAGTAATGACTCTCTGTGTCTCTTTTTCAACTCCTGTCTCCCTCTCAGAGAGCTTAGTGAAGCCCTACCTCTCATTCCTACTTAACTCCCACCACACCTCACACTCTGCAGAGTGCAGTCACTTCATGTAAACCATAGGTGTGCCTGCTGCCCTTCTCCCCTCAGTCCCCTAAGTTAGCAGGGAATGGCTGTGCAGTGTGCCTGCTACCTCACATAGGATGCCTCCTCTTACGTCCAAGTGCAGCCATAAATGTCTGTCCATTTCCATCCCTACTCACCTATGGAGGAAAGCTGGCAATGGTCAATCTTGATTCACATGTGTGCAAGCCAGTACTTTCAGTCACTGACAGGTTCCTGCTATCCCAAAACTAGGATTCAGATCCCACAGTTGACCGAGAAACTCGTCCTGATACAGACTTTGTTACTTATAAATGTGCAGTACATCTGTTACTGCTCAGCCTTTAATGTGTTTATGTATAGTTTGCCTAATACTCTAATCTACATCATTTATATACTGATGATATAAAAAATTTGAAAAACAGTTCTGATGCAAAAATTCAGTGCCTCTTGGGCCCACAAAAAAACCCATCCTTTTTATTAAGAACTTTGTCCCTTCACATTCTTATTAAAAGGCTGCCCACAGCTCCAAAACTGCTGTGAAAACCTTCACCTTTACTCAGTATTTGCGGTGTTCAGAAGTGAGACAAACCCAAAAGTAACATCCTGACTGCAGACCCAAATAATTGGTAGCCACGAGGTGAAAATTATTATTAGATCCGTAATTCATCCTTGTTTGTGTTTTGAATGACCTTTTGTGATAGTGAGCCTAAGTCTGGCTTTCCCCTCCAGGGAATTTCATCACTAGAATAGTTTAAAGCATCAATAGGGCCAGACCTTCCTCCATTAGGGCCCCCACACTGCTACCACAGAACCACCCCAGTGACCCTATGCTGGCCTGGGTCTTCTCACACCCCGAGCACAAGGCACCCTTCCCCAAGGGACCAAGGGAAAGCCCTAAGACACGGAGACAGGGGTCTATCCTGCCTGCTTAGCACACACCAGGAATAGCAAACTGATCTGAACACAGAGTACTGGACATGGGAGAAATCAGTCCTGTCTAGAGCCTCTGAAACCTGTGAATTCACTTAGCCTGGCCTGCTTGAACTATCACACTCACTGTGTTTTCACTTGTGCCTTTACCACAAGCTCTTGGGCCTTTACCACAAGCTCTTGTTTACCAGAATTGTATTTTTTAGAAAAGGATTCAATGCTCACTTCATGTAACAGGCAAACCCTGCATCCTGAGTTAAGTGGTCAGTTGCTGACACTGAAAGCAAAAGGCATTTTTAGTTGCCTGTTTTCTAAGCTGTATTTGTCCACCTCCAGCATCTAACCACCTTGTGATGTCCAGAGATAATCTGCCATTATGAATTCTCTCCCTGCTTTCAGTTGTTAGAGGACAAATATAAAATATCATCTCTGACAAAACAAATTGATTTAGATTATGTTGCCTCTCTTTAGACAGCACAGTTCAGCCTATGCTCATGCAGCTCATGCAGTCTCTGTTCTCTGCCCATCTGTCAAAATCCTTTTAAAACCATAAACATTTCAGAAATGGTCTCATTAATGCCGTACACATGGAAATATCACCTCCTTGACCTTTACCCGGCAATCTGCTCTGAGCAGAGACAGTAACATTTGCTTTCAGGTACACTGTATCTATCACACAGGGAGTGTGTATTTAGCTGACTGTCCATTATAAACAAGCATGAGTCACTGGTTTCCAAAACACAATCTCCCAGACAAACAGCACAGCTATAAAAGCACATCTTTGGTCTGTTAGCACCTGGAATTTGGCTGAGGATTCAAATTTTGGGGATCAGATTGGTTTACAGACAATGCAGAAGATGCTAAAGAATTGGCCTGTCCTTGACATTGTCATTTATTACTTCATCTCTGGTTGCATCATCATCATCATTGTCTTTGTCTAATGAAATAAGTCATGTGTGCCTAGGTCAAAACCCAAGCAACTGAGTACTCCAAGCCTCAAAAAATGAGCCCTTTGGTATATTGCTCAGGAACATCAATTGTGAATGCCTCTTCATTTACAATTGCTTTAGAAAGCATGACTATTAGCCAGACTGCAATTAACTTGATGCTTTTATTTATTGTTATTGTCTTATATTGCTAGAGCGTGGATGTTTTGGGGTTTTTTTACTCAGAGCATCATATGGAACAAAACCATGTCTTAAAGAAATTTCAATAGGTGTATGTTTAAATTGGTATCAAAAACTTTAGCAATCAAACAGACACTATCTTACCTAAATTACATTGCAATTAGTTCACAAGGCACTTTTACATTGATTACCATGAATTTTATCATCTTTTCCTAATCCCTTCCTAACTTCAGTTCTGTATTGGCTTTCCTTTGATTTGCCCCAGAATTTATCAGATTGCTACCCACTTTTCAACTATTTGAGTCATAACTCCTATTTTTCCCTTATTTTTGGCTCCAATGTCCTGACAACTGACTTCATTCTTTTCCAGTTCATGGTGCTGAAATGTGATGGCGGTACGTATGAGTGCAGTAAATGAGAACATATTTTCTTCTCAGGCTAAAGCAGAGAAAATTGTGATTTTTCTTGGTCATTCTGAATTCCTCCACATCATGTCTCCTCTGCTGGATTAGAAAGAAAATTTATGCATATGAGCACAAACATGATTGCTTAGGGGTAAAAAAAAAAAAAAAAAAAAAGCAGAAAACCTTGTTAAAACTTTCAAAAATCTCACCTTTTCTCTTCTTTTAGTCAGGAGAAGAAGAAAACCTGTTGGGATAGTTGCAGGTGGAATCTTTCCCTTATCACAGCTCTTTCTGAACTCCAAGCCCCATCATTTGTTAAGCTTTGGGCAGCACCTAAGTCAAACGTAGCCAAATCTGACAGATCCCTCCAGCAGCACTGCAGTGCACGTGACCAGTAATGAGGGGATAACCCTCCTGCCTTCCTTCAGCACCTTCCTTCCCTGAAAGGAGCAACAGGTTTAACTCGGGGCAAGGAAACACAGCAAATACAATATGGAAAGAAAAAGCTCCCCTCTCTAAGCATATTAGCTCTTGATTGCTCTGACTGATTTGGGATAACTTCTCTGCATTGCACACACAATACAGCAAAGGCAGACACCAGAGGAGGGAGGAAGGAAGGCACAACTGGCCATCAGGAGATGAGCATCTCTGCTTGGTGCATCTCTGTGCATTGTCATTACCATAGGTCTGCACAACTCGTGCTATTTAAAGAAGGTATAAAGCTGTGACAATTTGAGATTAGCTGTCTGTGTAAAATGATAGTGAGAAACAGAACAGAAGCATCCCAGCCTGGACCCAGCAAAACAGATTAGTAAAGACCAGTATCTCAAATTTCAGGCAGGAGTCTACTGCTGTTTCTAGTTACATAAATGGAAACACAGGGCAATCTATCAATTCAGTGCTACCTCACACTCTAACTCGCTGCTAAATGCCTGCAACAGGAGCTCAGGTGACCTTCCAAATCCAGGTGGAAGGTTTTAAGAACTGAATTATTACTTACATACCACAGGAAAGTAACTGATACTCTGAAGTGTCTTTGACTAATGTATTTTGTCCAACATTTCATGTGCTCCAAAATTGAGTCCTATTTATCACTTCTGGCAAGAGATAGGATCACTTGTGTGGCAAGCTTTACTGATTAAGGTTGAAAACAATTTGTCCAGTGTTATTTCCACCTCTGTTGAAGAAGGAACAGCTGCTACCCCTCACACCAACTTTAAAGGGCAAAGACGGATGGCTGGAATCTGCACACGCATTCATGTGGGAAGCAGGAGGAAAGGAAAACACTGGCAAGACCCACACTATAAGTGAGAGGGGTCAGAGAACAGGCATCCACTATTTAAGGAATGGCTCCCTGATGTTCAGCTTTCAAAGTGGAACAAATATTTAGTGCTGGCCCAGAATTTTCCAGCTTTCGGGTTTAGAACTCAAACAACATGAAGCAGCCTTTGCAGGATGGAGCCATTCCACACCAATTTGCTCATTGATTTTGGCTTACAGGGCTACTCTGGGAATGGCCAACTTTCAAGATATGATCCTCTGTGCCTTGGCTCTGGAGTCAAGCCACCAAAGATCATTTGAGGTTTCCAGAGGCCTCATCAGCACTTCATCTAAGCACCATTTTCTTGCTGATGCCAATACTTGGAAAATTAGGTAAGAGTTAAGGACTTCCTGGAATTAAACAGGGATGTGACACAAAATGATTAAGAAGATTTTGGGAGGGGGCCTTGCACCAAGTCTTGGACTCCACCTTTTTCTCCCTTTTCGTCAGCAATGTGCTTCCTCTCCCAGAACCTGCCATGTTGTTCTCCCTTTGCCAAGCACACTGACACCCAGCAGGAAGGGCAGCAGCAGCTGTCACGACAGCAGAGTGGCTCAAGGGCAGAGAAAGCTTGCACTGACCTAAGCTGTTTGACATAAAGCATATTTATCAAGAATCAGCAGGCAGCTGACCTGCTGGAAGGGACCTTTTTGGTCAGCCTTTTTTAGTTCAGGAAAGGGCGAGGACCATTTGTCTGAGGTGTCAGGGGAAGGTGGAGCAACAATTATTACATAAAGCCTCTTTCAGCCCAGCCCATGCTGTTTTCTCAGGGCAAGTCCTCTAGAACTTCCCCAGCAGCTCTACTGCAGTGCTTGTACCTCTGAGATAATTCTCTACAATTTCAGATTAGAAATTTCAAAATATCACTACAGAACAGATGAGTATTAAGGCTGCCCCTGATGGCAGCAATGGATGGATTTGCTCAGACTCTGTTCATGGCAAATCCTAGGCTGTATCTCTTCTCCTCATTGGCTCTCAAAAGCAGCAGAGAGCAGGGGAGATAAAAAAGGTAACAATGAAATTCTGAAGGAGGAAAACCCAGTGGAATAAAGCACCAAAACAAAGAGACAGAGAAGAGTTTTTGAAATTAAGATCTATAGGAGGCGGGAGAACAGAAGAGCAGGTCAGCTTCTAAGAGTTCCTGCCCTATCAGCAAACAAATCATCACTCACAGGATCTTGTCCAGATTATTTCCAAGCCCATTTAGTGTCAGTGTCAGCAGCCCTACAGACCACACAGCATTGCTAGTGGCTGTGGGACAAGCCATGGCTAAGGAGGGTGGATGATTTCAGTCCTACTTGGTGACCCTGTGTTGTTGGAAAACGCTATAGGCACTGCAGCCTTCTTGAAAAGCCTTATGTTCATCACTAGAGATGTAAAAAATTCTCCACCTTAGCAATACACATCTTTAGTGGTCTCTAGGGGAAACATCTCCAGTTCCTCGGTGTGGCAAAAGAGGGTCTGGGCACAGCTATCATGGCTGGGCCCCCACCTCCTCCACAGAGGTCTCTCCTCCCTTCCTGCAGGGTGAGGATGTCAGAAAAAGCTGGAGTCACTAGAGGAGGGCAGTGGAGGTAGGGTCAGGGTGGAGCTCAACAAAACACAGTTTTCATGCTGTCCATCCTCTGGGTACACACTTGCACGTTCAATGGCACTTCACTGCACAGCCCAAAGCTGCCCACATCTTCAGAGACACCAGCCCTTCTACTTTATCAGCTCTGTCTGGAAAGCATCAGAGAGAAAAGTACCCCTAACATCATGTGGGAAAGGCCTCTGGTTTGAGTAGTTCCACTAAGAAACTGACTGGGCCAGATTTCCTTCCCTTCTCAAACAGCATTTGCAAAACTGTCTGTCATGGAGAACACTGCTTTACTACTGAATCCATAATAAAGTGGACTAGAAATGAATCTCCTGCGTGGGAGAAAACATTTGAGGCTTTGACAGAACTATTCTAGAGAAAAACCTAAATGTACAAACCCCAAAAAACTAAAATACACCTAGCCTTTTTCTCATTGCTTTTGTTGGTTTTTTCCCTCAGCTTTGAGTACTTCAAAATATATTGATTTATTTTTTTTTCTTGTTTTGGGCTCCTTATGACTAAGTGTTAAAATTAAGGTAATTTTGAGGTAGATATTTCATTTTGAGCTAGAGTTTACTATGCAAAAACATCAAAACAGGTAATTCAAAAAAAATCTAAAATTTTTATAGGCAAGTCTCTCAGAACTATTAATGCTCATAGAAAGGGTTAGTTTTAGACAAAGTAGGATCTTGCTTTGATACAAAAATGATCTGGAAAATAACCATTCCCAAACGGCTTATCTCTAACCAGGCTGTCAAATACCTTGTGTTCTTGTCCCAGGGAAACTGTTTTGTAAACTGAAACTTATTGCTATTGCAAAAGCAGGAAGAGACTCCTCTGACCTCCACAGCCTCCACGCTTAGAAAAGCACGTTCCAGTGCCACCAGAAAAAACTGACCTATCGTAATACTCCTTTGGATGCACAAACTCCTCTGTCATTCGTTCAACAACAACAAAAAAAGTTTATATGCAACAAAAAAAAGTTTATATGTCATGCTTGTGACAGCTGGCAGACTGAAGCAAATAGATTGAAACTGCTTTCTGATTGCCCCTGTGTGCATCTGAGCTCTACTAGGGCCACCAGAAAGTAACAAATCCCAGTCTTGTCCAGTGTTAATCACTTAGCACATTTAAAATATGTGTCACCTGCTGAAGGGCAAACCCGTGTCCTCTTTCCCAGCATTTGAATCTGCTGTCAGATTTGAGAGAGTTGGCACATGCAGTAGGATTTACTCCTCTCAAGGCAGGTGGCTCCCACAGAATCAGGGGACCAAGTCATAAAAAACTGAAGGAATGATATTTTAGACCTGCTTCTCATTTGTTATATGTAAGGGTATCCACATATTTTTATGGATACAGCAAACAGAATGACCCCTTTCCTTTTCATTTGCTACTTTTCTCTTTGAAATCAGTCTCAGCTGCAACTGAGATTAAAAATCTCAATTAAAATCAAAGGAAAAAGATTATTTGTTGCTGTTGTGCAGAACTTACCTGGGAAGAACCTTGAACTGTCAGGTCTTCACTGCAAATTGTTCAGTGGTTTCCCTCCAGAGACCTGCCTTGGGAAACTGCAACTCTCCCTGATGCTCCAGTAGGTGACTTTTTCCTGACTGAGCTATTTGCAGTGAAGACATGACACCGTGTTCAAGGTTCTGCCCAGGTTAGTTCTGTGCAACCACACGGCAGTGAATGAAAGTGATCACTTACCAAATCTATCTGTAGCCACAAAGCATGGAATAACTGTTCCACAGGCATCTTGCCATCCAAACAGCCCAGAGGTGAGAGCAACAGGTACAACAGCTCTTACGTCCACCCAAAATAATGTGGTTGTCTGTGGTCCTGAACACCCCAGGGAAAAGGGATGGTCTTTCCCACAGGAGGGGCAGAGGACATCCAAACCATGGTCAGAACTACACAGCACACCCCTGGGCTGAGCTGCTAAGACTACATTCTGGAGTTATTGCCCTTGCAAGGGAACCACTCTGGTTTGATTATCAGACTCTCTGAATGACGACACATTTGCAGCACTGTGGGCAAAGCAGTCCCAGCCCCACACCATGGCCTGGGCTCTCACAAACTAAATTCCCCTGGAGCAGACCCAAGTCAAGATCAGGCTTTAGTTCCTCATACCATCTCCTAGAGGTGGTAACCCCTGTGGCAGAGCTGCTGGAGCATGAAAGTCTCAAGAGTTGCTTTTGTACATGAGAAAACTGAATACTGGGGTTATTTGCATGGGCGGCTGAGCCACCTCACACAGCATTACAGTCCCATTATCCTGCCAGTGGGTGTCCACCCTGCTGCCACCCTGCACCCACCTCCCCATCTGTGTCCTAAGATCATCTGACCCCCAAGACAGTGAGTTCCAGGCAAATGCAGCAGTTCAGATCTTGCCACAAACAAGTGTTTTTCATTATTGTTGAAACTTAAGAAAAACAGCTTACAGAACTTTGGTGAGGGGGGGGGGAAACAAACAAAAAAAACCCCAACCAAAACCCCTTGTGTATATATATATATATATATATAAAAATTTATGTCAGAGG